ACACACACACACACACACAGTCTCACACACACACACACACACACACACACACAGCACTGCATTACCTCATATCAGAATTTTGTTATTATAGATCTAAAACTGAAACCAATGAAGATGACAATAAAACAGGTGCACATTTTGACAACATTGAGCAAACATCTTCTCTGATGAGTTATATGCTCCTGAAAACAAATGATGAACCTCTAAACAATAAACCAGAATGATCCTTCCCACCAAACTGGAAAAACTTACTGGTAAATGGCCAAGGAGACAAGTGATGTTTCCAGGGACAAAAATTATCACTCCGTCTGTGCTCAGTATTATCATAAAGCCATCTAATGACTAATGAAGAGAGAATAATAGTGTAATTAAATAGTGGAACAATAATAAAATGATAGCTTTATTTCAAAATGCATAAATAATTATAATAGCACACTGAAAATGTATTGTGGTCCTTAAATATCAATAAAGCAGACACAGACTTAATTAAAATTCCATTATTCTGCCTCCTACACAGGATCTACTTAACCTTAAGCATGAGCTGTTTATCAAATGATGTGTCACTTAGACAAACAAATTTTAACGTATACCCAATTAATACAAAACTCTCCAACACAAGCTAGGAAGATTCATTTCCGTATGTAGGTTGTTTCACATTTAATTCAAAATTAATTTCAAAAATGCTAAGAATATTTTGCAGGGCATTTTATTTGTGGTCAGTTTAGTCACCTACTTATAAATATGGATATTTCCATTACTTTCCTGCTATATAATGGATTTGATATCCAGACAAATGCCTCCTGGTAAAGAACCCCTAAAATGATGAATAAAGTATATAAAAACTTCTTTTTCATAAAAAGACCAAGCTTATTGTAAAGTAAAGCAAACAATCTGGTATCGGAAATGACTAGAACATGGGAATTAAAAGGAAAGGGGATATTGGAGTCTGTATTTGCCTTGGAAATACCTGTACAATACTGATGGCATAGAGATTGGGGGAGAGAAAGCAAACCCAGGCTTACACAAGGTGGGAAGTGAAATCAGAGACTTCTGCATAAAACCAAGCTTCCCAAAGGGTAACACTCTTAGCAGGCAAAATAGATCTTATCCAGCAAAGGGAGACAGTGAATGCACATGCCTGCCTGAGCCTCGGCTCTGGCTAGAGAGGGAAAACCGAAACTAGTCTCTTCTTAGAAGTGCTAAACAGAGGCCCACACTCACACAGATTGGGAGCTGGAATTCACGAACTGCCTGTGTAGACTTCCACAGCCCAAGCCCATTATTCAGTTTAAGGGGTTCCTGACCCCAGGCATCTAGTAAAAAGAAACTGAAATCATCCCTAGAGAATCATTCTAAAACCAGGGCTCAAGGAATTCATGTGGATAAAGCTCCAAATAACATGAGCTTATAATAAGATATTAATAACACCAGGAAGAAATGAAACATCATGAACAAGGGGCAGTACAAATAATAAAATGCAGAATCAGATTAAAAAACAGTACATACTGGAATTATTGAAGATAAAATATAAAATAAGTTTCCTTAAATGGCTTAAATAAATAACAACGGGTATTGAAAATACGATGAAGGAACAAGAGACTCAGAACTGACCAGGCAGATGTGAAAAAGAAACACAATTTCTAGAAATGATATTATCGTCAAAAAATAAAAACTCACTATACAGTTAAATAGCATGCTGGAACACAGCTGGAAAGAAAACAGAGCTGAAGAAATGACTCAGATCTCAACACAGAGAGACACAGGAATAGAAAACATGGGAAACTGAACGACATGGAGAAGGGAGCGAGGAAGTGTGTTAGATATTTTACACCTATCCACTTTATTCTCACAACTCAGTGAAAGAGATTTTTTAATACCCATTTTACAGAGAAAGAAATCAAGGCTCAGGGACAATAACTCTCTCAAGGGCACAGAGCAAGTAAATGACAAAGGCACAAATCATAGCCCTGTCTGACTCAAAAGACCATGGTCATTCAGGCTTTAGCTTTTGGCCTTTGAACTTAGTGAAACTAAGCAGTTTCCTTGGAGCTAGAAACCATAAACACCTCATGTCCTTGAGGGGAAAAAGTAAGACTTGAAGGCCTGTTTTTTAGAGGCTAACAACCTATTTTGAAGGGTCTACCAGATATTATTTAATTTGCCATGAACAAAGACTTGTTCGTATTTGTTGTCACTCAAGATGAGTGGTTTCCAAAACTCAGTTATAAGAAGCATCTGAAGAGCCTGTTAGAAATGCAGGCTCCTGGCCCTACCAGAATTGAGACTCTGATTCAGACAGTTTAAGGTGGGTCCCAGGAATCTGTATTTTTACCAAGCTCCCTAGGTAATCCTGAGATGCATGGTCTCTTAGTCACACTGTGAAAAACACTATTCTTTATCTTCTATTGGACGTGTTCTAACATATGAGGTAAGCCAAGAACAAACCCCCTCTTACTTGTAGTGTCTTGCACTTGAAGTCTTCATAGCTATGAAACGATGGAATCCAATCAGATTGCTCTCTGGAGGTTTCTGGATTGACTTTGCCTTTTTAGAAAAACAAAGAAAGGATAGAAAACTGTCACATTAAAATGATTAGCTATGGGTATTAGATTTTTCAGAGTTATAATTAATTTTATAGAAAAGACTCTCATGAGAAAATGCTGAGTGCTAATGAAGGAGCTGATGTAGACTAACTAATTGCTTGTAAATTATCATAAACAGAGAAGTGTTTCAAATTGAAAAAGACCTTGAAGATCATCCAATTCAATTTGCACTGTACACACCTCGCCAAAAACTTCATGATTTTCAACCTCCAGTTCCTTCCTTTTCTTGACTTCTTTAAGTCTTCTGCATTCCACCTAAACCCAGTAATCATAATATGCCAGCGAAGGTATGGCTGTGTCAAGGCCTCTAGGCAGATCCAGACACCTAACTAGAATATCTTTAAGCCCTATCTCATATCTCTTCAAAGCTGTTAATAAAGTTGCATCTCCCAACCATCCTTCTTCATTCTTCAAGGTTTTCCAGTTTTCCCAATGAACACTGTTTCTGATGCTGTGCTCACTCAGAGCCTTTGCTATCAACATCTGTCCCCACCACCTGCCCCAATCCGACCTATAGTCCACTAACTTCACTAATACAGGGATTTCCCTAACACAGCCCTCCAATCTCCAGTTATTTTAATGCATGTCAATAACTGTTAGTTTCTTCTCCTCACAGAACAGTTAGAGACCCATGGCATACAACTTTGATCCCTTTTAAAAATGTTAAATGCCCTGACAAGGATAATTCTGATAACAGAGCTTGTTTTCTCAGTGGGTAAGAGTCTCAGATCCTTTCCTATCAGTAGATTTGGATAATAAGGAGGCCAAGCATGAGCAGAAAAGCATCAGAGCCCTCACTGAAGAGGGAATGAAAAGAGGGTGTATAACTGTCTGGGAAATGATGGAATATAAAAATAAACCACACCAATTGCATAAATGCCTCATGATCAGTGTTTCTGACTACTGTCCCAGCCTGGAAACTCAATTCTGGTCACAGCTCCTCAAGATCAAGAAAAAACCCATGACACTCTCTCATAGCTGATTGCTGAAGTCATTTCCCCACTGACTTTCAGCTCTACCTAGTGATTTTCATCTCCTACACTCCCTCCAAAGAAATAAGTAAGACTGAAGAGAGTCTACATATTTCCAAGATAATAAAACCAATGTATTTTATCAATCAACCATAAAGGGCTTTTTACATTACTATTATCCATAAATTTATTCTTGTTTTGCTTGTAGGACGGGCACCATATCCAATTCTTTGCTAAAACCCCAGTATCTAGCATAGTACTTAACTCATAATAGGGACTTGATAATTCTTATTAAACTAAACCTCATTCATTCGTTTATTTAACTAATATTTTTTAAAGATTTATTTATTTGAGAGAGCACGAGTGGAGGGCAGAGGGAGAGGGAGAAAGAAACTCAAGCAGACGCTGCGCTGAGCATGGAGCCCAACACAGGGCTCGATCTCACGACCCTGAGATCTACAACGTGAGCCAAAACCAAGAGTCAGATGCTTAACCAACTGCACAACCCAGGTGCCCCATTATTTAACTAACATTTACTGAGCTCCAACTACGTATCCTGTTCTGTTCTAGAGGCTCAGAATATAGTACAAACAAGACAAGTGACGTGACTGTCCTTCTGTATCTTACAGAACGGTGAGAGGGGTAGACAGACAACACACACATGGACAGGAATGACAGGAAGACAGCCACAGGAAAACCTGGGGGCAAAGCATCTTGAGCAGAGGAAGGAGTAAGTACAAAAGAAGCAGAAAAGAATTTGGCCTATTTAAATTACAAACGAGAGGCCAGAGTGGCTACAGTAGGATGACCAAGGGATACAGTAGTAGGAAATGAAGTTTGAGAGACAGGCAGGGTCAGATCATGTAAGGTATATGTTAAGGAGTTGACATTATTCTAAGTGGAATATGAGATACTTTTAAGCAGGAGAGTGATATGTGTTTTGAGGGGAGAGGCATAGGGAAAGGGAGAGAGAGAACCTTAAGCAGGCTCCACACCCAGTGCAGAGCTCGATCTCACAACCCTGAGATCATGACCTGAGCCGAAATCAAGAGTTGGACGCTTAACCAACTGAACCACCCAGGTGCCCCTAGTGACATGTTTTTAAAAGACCACTATGGGGGCACACTATGGATGGCTCAGTTGGTTAAAGGGTCTGCCTTGGGCTCAGGTCACGATCCCAGGGTCCTGGGATCGAGCCCCATGTCAGGCTCCCTGCTCAGCAGAGAGCCTGCTTCTCCCTCTCCCTCTGCCTGCCGCTCCCCCTGCTTGTGCTCTCTCTCTCTCTCTCTCTCTCTGTGTGTGTGTGTCTGTTAAATAAATAAATAAATAAATATCTTTAAAAAAATAAAATAAAAAATAAAAGACCACTATGGTATTTTGTGCAAAATAGATCAAACTGGGGAGCAAGCCTAGAAGCAGAGTATACCTAGGAGGCTTCTACAAAAGTAACAGATGCTGGTGGCCTGCATTTGGTTGGTATACCAAGGCTATAGAAATGGGGAGAAGTGAATGGATTTGAGATACATTTTAGAGGCAAAACCAAAAGGGCTTGCTGAAGAATTAGATGAGGAGGTGGAAGAAATGGAGGACACAAGAATGATTTATACATTTTTAGCTTGGGCAGCTGGAAGAATGACTGGTGGTATCCGTTACTGGAATAAGGAAACCTGGGGGGGGCGGCGGGCGCTGAGAGGCAGTGGAGTAGAGAGGGACCAAGAGTTCCTTTATGGCCATGTTAACTTTTCTATTAGATATCCAAGTGAAGAAGTCACATAGGAAACTCTTGCTGATTTAATAATGAGTACAGTTCTCAAGTATGGACCTCAGGTAGGTCAGGGCTAGTTACAAGCAGGGGTCACTGACATCCAGGTAGCACTTCAAGTTAAGAGACTGGATGAGATTACCTAGGAAATGAGTGTAGCTAGAGAAGAAAAAAGGTCCAAGGACTGAGCTCTGGGGCACACTGGTGTTCGGAGGTTGAAAGGGAAAGTGGAAAGGTAGAAAGAAGAAAAAAAGGGAAGGAGCAGCCAATGAGCTAAGAGAGAAACCAGGTGAGTGTGTTATTCTGGAAGCCAGGAGAAAAGTCCTTCAAGAAGAAAGGAGTGGTCACCGGTCCAGTGTTTTTAAAAAGGCCAAGAAAGATGTGGAGAGTTAAGGACCAAATAATTCAGCAGTGTGGAGGTCACTGTTACCCCTGACAAAAGTAGCTGTACTGGAGCAGTGAAACCTGTAGCCCCAGGGGAGTGGACTGAGGAAAGAATGAGGGATGAGGATGTGGGGACAGGGCCCGTACAATCCTTTCAAGAAGTTGTGCTGTGAAGAGGGCACAGAAATAGAGTAATAGAAGCATCATGGGGTCAAGAAAATATTTTTTTAAGTAACAGATTTTTACAGCATGATTATATGCATATGGGTATAACCTGTTCAGATGTTTTGAATTAAGTCTACTTAAATATTATAGGTACTGTTTTACACCCTCAGGGCCACGTTTCCCTTAGCAACATTTACCATATGCTTCAAGTGCCTAAGATACAGAAATTTGCATTATTCTTGCCCAGTATACTTCTATTAATTCTCATTTCCTTGTTCCACTTTTACATGAACCCTAACAACATTTTCAGCATTGGCTATAAACAAACTATGAATAGAGACAAACTACGTATCTGTGTATTAGAAGGGGCTTCAGGAGATCCTCTCTTCATTAATCCCTCCCAAAGATGTTTGAAGTAAAGGGAGAGACCCAGCTGTCCCACCCGCAACCAATTTTCAACATGGCTAATCAAAAAGCTATAAGGATGAGTCGGGGTGCCCAGATCAAACCTTCCTTCTTCTGTGAAGGGGTGGTAGTGTCCTGCGCTGTTTTAGATCTGTCTCCCTTCACAGGATAACCATGAGTTTGCAGCATGGCACGCAGTTCCTTAAAGAAGGCATTAAACCGGTCCTTCTTTTTATTTTCAGATATATTAGGTACATCCCTAAGTGACAAAAAACAATCAGCATTGTTAATGGTAAGGGTAGGTCTAGGAATCCAGATGATGAAACAATGGATGGAGAAGAAATAAGAAGAGAGAAAGGGAATTGTTAATGTCAACTTCTGAGCAAAAACCCAGATCCTTGATCATTCACAGGACAATAATAACTGCCAATATTAAAATGAGGAAATGAAAACCAATCTCATCTCCCTTAGACTGGGAGGTCCTCGAGGGTAGGGACCACACCTGTCTCAGTGTCTTCCAGCGCAAAGCCCAGCACAGTGTCTGGCACAGTAACCTAAGAATTATATAAAATAAGTTAAATCCAAATTAACTTGAATTTACTGGTGGATCTTTGTTCCACCATATATTCTTACCTGCTTTTACAAGAGTACTTCTGATTAAAGAAAATTCTTTCTATATGATACCTAATTACTCAAGAGGCTCTTGCAAAGCCATTGCTCCATCTCAGAGAGAAGGCTGAACAATAAAAGGCTAATTGAAATCTTTTTTTTTTAACTTTGAAAAACAGATCATGCTGAAAAATTTGGACAAAAACTTTTTGATCAGTGCACTGGAATTTATTTTTTTAAACTAACATATTTTTTAATTTAAAGTCAATTAGCCAATATTTGTACATCGTCAGTTTCAGATATAGTGTTCAATAATTCATCAGTTGTGTATAACACCCAGTGCTCATCAATCCTGTGCCCTCTTTAATGCCCATCACCCAGTTACCCCATCCCCCAACGCACCTCCCCTTCAGCAAACCTCAGATTGTTTCCCAGAGTTAAGGATTTCTTGTGGTTTGTCTCCTTCTCTGATTTCTTCTCATTCAGTAATTTACTTTAGATGCTTGAACTGGAAAAATAAGGTAATTTATCTTTTCAAACATACACGAATTTAAGCTCCAGGCAAACCATGGCCCCAAAACAGGCTTCTAAACCTACCAGGGAGTGTAAAGCAATTATTTAGTGTCAGCTCCTGGCAGCCACTGTGTAAGTCATGGAAGACACAGTTTGATGAGGGAGGTTGTCAGGTACATAGGTAATGCACTAAGTATTATAATAGACTTGGGGCCAGGGGTTATCGAAAACCCACTGGAGAGACCAAATTTCCCTGAGTCAGGCTTCCCCAAGGAAGTAGGAGTTTGCAAAGACGTGAAACAGGAACAGAAGACAGAAGACAGGGGAGAGGGCTTTGACAGCAATATCAGTGAGTTATGAATTCATACCTTTTCTCTTCTCTGTCAGCCTCATCCATTATTCAGTGATGTAACAATTCTGAAATCAAAGTGGAACAACATTTTACTAAGAAGTCAGTCTATGATGAATCACAATAAAGCAATAAGACTAATCAGAATTCTCAATTGCATAGCACCTTTCCCTTAAGGAATGCCTACTTCTTTTAAAGACAGAATTTCATTAAGTACCAAAAACCCTCTCATACGTTATGTAGATGTTGAAGACTTGCTTTGTTGTCTGATCCCCAATAAATTTAGTCACAATAGCATTACAAATGAATATATTTGAAAAAGTTACAAAAACATTCTGTGAAGTTACACAACTTAATCCAAAAGTATCTGTACGTTTAATTCCATACCCTTAAAATTCCTTTAACATCCACTAACTTGAAGAACACTTGAAACAAAGACAGATGTGGGTTAAAAGTTTCATATCTATACACAATACCATGCCACAATAGACAAAATCTGCATTTATTGCTGCTATCACAGAAATCCTGGGCATATAAAAAATGGCCCTAAAATCACCAAAGTCCTCTGCTTTGAATTGTATAATTAGACTCACACATTACCTCAAGGTCATAGAAGTCAATGACGTTCAAATACATGTCTGTTAAATAAGAAGCAGCTAAAACATAACAAACATCCTTCAAAAGCTCTCAAGAAAGTAAGGGAGAGCTTAGGGGTACAACACTGAGAAGATGCTGAAAACCAAAGCTGGTTAGTACCCCAACCAGTGCTGTTGTGAGGACCAGGAAGCAAAGCTATGCAACAAAGGACCTCGGATATTAAGGCCCTCTTTGGTGACAGAAAATCCAAGCAAAGCATTGAAACTAAAACCCACCACCTCCTCCCTACATACAGGCAAGACTCCCGGAGGCTTTGGTTTCATTTAAAAAGCCCTCCTGACACAAAGGAAGAAAACAAGGAAGTTTGGCTATCTCAGCATGTTCTCTGGGTAGGAAAAAAAGGGTGCTATTAGACTGAATAGGGCTCTAAGGGATGCAAAGACAAACCCATTCTGGAGAGATACTCTCTAAAGACAAGTTCCACAGAATTTCCACAGGTAAGGTAATGCTGAAGACGGGCTCACCATCCAGAATTAGAAAGTTATGTAAGGAAACAATCCACCATATAGGACACACACACACCAGCACCACCCCAGCAGTATGAGACCTCCAAGAACTTGAAATAATTAAAAGATCTAAAAGCCATTATAAAATAATTGTGTTTAGAAATATGAAAAACAAAATAGATGGAACTGAAAACATGAGAAAAACCAGGTAGACATGAAAAACAACAAAAGTGAAATTCTATAAATAAAAACATATTCAATGGAATTAATTTCAAAAGGATGGATTAAGCATGTATTAAGAAAAACCAGATGAGGGGCACCTGGTGGCTCAGTCAGTTGACGGTGACTCTTGCTTTTGGCTCAGGTCCTGATCTCAGGGGTCATGAGGTCAGGCTCCATGCTCAGCAGGGAGTCTGATTCTCTCTCTCCCTCTGACCCTCCCCACCCTTTATCTCTCTCTCTCTCAAATAAATAAATAGGGGCGCCTGGGTGGCTCAGTCAGTTAAGCATCTGCCTTTGGCTTGGGTCATAATTCCAGGACCCTGGGATCCAGCCCTGCATCATGCTCCCTGCTCAGCGGGGAGTCTGGTTCTCCCTCTCCCTCTGCCTGCTGCTCCCCCAGCTTGTGTGCTCACTCTCTCTCTCTCTCTCTCAAATAAATAAATAAAATCTTTTAAAAAATAAAATAAAATAAATTTAAAAAACAGATGAGAAAATTAATAAATGGAATACAGACATGAAGAAATTTACCATATTGCCTCTACAGAGAGATAGTAAAGTGGAAAATAAGAAACAAGAGATTATGAAACATGCATAACAGAATGGGAAAGCCTAATATAGTTCTAATAGGAGTTCCAGATGAAGAGAATAGCAAGAATTAGAGAAAGGCAGTAAAGAAATAATGGCTAAAATTTTCCCAGAATGGAAAATGTGACCCAATCTGGATAAATTAAAATAAAACCACATTTGAAACATCATAGTGGAATTTCAGAGCATGAAACACAAATGGGCCATTCTAGGCCATAAAACAGATCAACAACTACCAAAGAACCATATGCTCCAGTCCTAATGCCATTTAATTAGAAATCAAGAACAAAAAGATAACATAAAACCCTGTAGATCTGAATATTTAAGACAACAGCAACAACAAAAACAAAATTTCCTAAATAGCTCTGAAAATCAGAAAATATTTAGAACTGAAGGACTGTAAAATACTATATATTAAAACCTATAAAATTCAGCTAAAGCAACACCAAGGAATTTAGACCCTTAAATACTCATGAGAAAAAAATGAAAATAAATGAGCTAAGCAGTCAACAAAACAAATTGTAAAAATAAGAGTAAAGCTGGGGTGCCTGGGTGGCCCAGTCGTTGGGTGTCCGCCTTCGGCTCGGGTCATAATCTCAGGGTCCTGGGATGGAGCCCTGCATCGGGCTCCCTGCTAGGTGGGAAGCTTGCTTCTCCCTCTTCCATTCCCCCTGCTTGTGTTCCCTCTCTTGCTGTCTCTTTGTCAAATGAGTAAATAAAATCTTTAAAAAATTAAATAAGAGTAAAGCCAGATAAAGGAGATGCAAGGAAATAATAATGATAGGATGAGAAAAACACTTTGATAAAAAAGATACAATAGAACAGGTCAAAAAAATCTGTTAATTAAAAAAAAACAATAAAATAAAATATTGTTATACCAGATAGATCAAGAAATAAAGGAGAAGACATATTCTGGAATGGAAAGTGCATACATATGAATTTGAGATGGTAAGAAGTAGTATGATCAGCTCTATGACCATAAATTTGAAAACAGAGATGAAATATTTCCTAGAAAAATGTATTTTCACCTATTAAACCTCTTTAATAATACAAAGAAAATTGGAAGCAATCATATAAATGTAAAGAAATTAATGCAATAATTAAAAATCTATCCACAGAAAAGCAACCTAACCTAATCTAAACAAAACAGTCCCAAGGCATTCAGAGACTGATACTTCCAAACATTTAAATAATAGGTGTATCATATTTCATGCAAATTATTCCAGAAAACAGATAAAGAAGTCTCTCACCTCTCAACTCTTTTTATAATCCTAGTATATTCTTTATACCAAACCAGATAAAGGAAGCATCAAAAGGGAAAATTTTACAAGCCAATTTTATTTATGATCCAGATGCAAAATCCTAAGTAAAATTATCAAACCCAAACCAAGAGAGTATTTAAAAACTTAGGCTAACTCTAGAAATACTAAGATAATTTCACATTAGAAAAAATATAATTCAATATATCAGACAAAAAAAAGAATGTGATCATCTCAGTAGATGCAGAAAATGCATTTGATATCATTCAAAACACATGTATACTTTTTTTAACAGACTAGGTAGAGATAGGAGCTTCTTTAACCTGATAAAGGGAAACAACCAAAAGCATACAAAGATCATACTCAAAGGTAGAGCATTAGAGGAATTCTTTATATTCAGGAAAAAAAATAAGACTGGCTGCTAAAACATTTAATACATAGTGCTAAAAGTACTAACCAATGCATTAAGATAAGAAAAAGAAATAAAATCAATAGCTCTTGGAAAGGAAAAATAAAAGTCCTCATTCATGAACACTATGATTATCTACATAAAAAATCCAAGAGATTCTGCAATTTACTAAAATAATAAAATACTTCAGCAAGATTGCTATATACCAGATTAATATATAAAAGTTAATTTTGTTCCTTTATACCAGCATTTAGAAAATATTTTTTGAAGATGCAATCAAAACAGAAATTTATAGGGACTACTGCTTATGGCCATGGAATAGCCTCCTGCCATGAACAACTAAGAGACTGGACAAATTAGAGGAAATACCTATTTGGAAACATTGGACAGCAGGCAGCACATGCCTGTGATCCCTGAGATAAGAGCAAAAATGAGACAAACACTACAATAATCCCAGCTTTCTACCTAAAGGTACGTTCAGACCATGGTTCGTGAAGCAGAATCCCAAGCAGAGTACAGTGGTCTCACTGAGATTAGGAGACAGAAATAAGAGTTCAGGAAAGCCAAGGTGGTTGGAATTTGTGGAGCAGAATACCAGAAAGAAAAAAGCTATGGCAAAACAAACAAACTCCAGAAATCTGAATACAGAGTCCCTTGAACCTTTGGCTGAACACTTAACTTGTGCCTGTGCAAGGTGATACTCTACACGACCAATCAAGGAACAACTACCAGGGAAAGAACAAACCCAGTAAATTCAAAACGTTTTAAACAATCATAGCTTATGCATGGCTGGAAGACAGATCTGAGTTTCATCCAGCAGAGTGGAGAAAAAAGACTGAGAAAATGCACAGAGCCTCACTGTGGGATAAAATCAAGCCATCTAAAATATATGTAACTGGATTCCCAGAAAGGGGAGGCAAAATAATTTGAATAATGGCCATTTTTTCCATACTGGATGAAAAATATAAACCCATATTCAAGAAGCTCAATGAATCCAAGAAAATAAACACAATGGAAAACTCACTAAGGCATATAATAAACAAACTGCTGAAAACCAATTATAAAAAGAAAATCTTAAAAGCAAACAAATAAACACATTTAATACAAGAGAAAAAAAAATGACCTGTGTCTGACTTCTTATCAAACAACCCAAGCCAAAAGAAACTGAAACATCTTTAAAGTGCTGGGGGAAGGGTTTGGAATCAAGCTAGAATTCTATATCCAACAAAAATACACCCTTCAAAGAAGTTGAGGATAAGGACACCTTTAGATGAACAAAACCTGAAAGAAGTCAAGGCCAGTACATTACCACTACCAGAAATGTTAAAGGAAGTACTTCAGGTAAAAGGAAAATGACATCAGATGGAAACTCAGATTTACATAAAGACATGAAAAGCACTGGCAATGATATATATGTAGATAAATATAAAATAATTTTTTTCCTCTTTATGTCCAAGAGAACTGAAATAAAAACAAACGACTGTAGGGCT